AAATAATAGGGGCTCCCTATGGCGCAGCGGTTGAGAGCCCTGCTGCAAAGCTGCCCGCAACCTCTGCAGCACCGGTTTGATTCCCCACCAGCCAGGGAGAACCCACATGGCGCAGCAGACCTCTCCTGCCTCACCCGCTGCTCCCCTCAGCAGTGTCTTTGGTCTGTCTGCCTGTTCTGCTCCCACGTTGACTCTGGTGATTTCTCTCACCCTCCCGCACTTCTGACCTGTACCCCAATTCTTGTATAAATAAATAAATCTTAAATAATAATAATAATAAACTTGCCTTTGCAGTAGCATGGATGGAACAGGAGGGGATTGTGCTAAATAAAACATGTCAGAAGGAGAAAGACAAATGTGTCACTTACAGGTGGAAAATAGAGAAACAAAACAAAGGGTCAAAAAAAAACCAAACCAGAAACAAACTCGAGAAATCTGACTGCAGAATTGAGGCTACAGAGGGAGTAGAGAGAGAGCAAAGTGAGGAGGAGGCACAACAAACTATGGTGGACTATTGGTGTGTTGGTGGCAGATGTGGCAGGATAACATACATCTGAAGGGTGTGATCCTAGACCTCGAAATCATATACAATGTTCTAATCCACTGTTACCTCAAGAACAAAAGTGGTATATATTCATAATTGAATACTACTCAGCAGTTAAAAAAAAAAAAAAGATGAACTCTTGCCATTGCAACAACATGGCTGGAACTGGAAGAGATTATAAACAGATAAGGAGAAAAACAAACATCCGACTGGGTCACTTATGTGTGAAATACAGAGAAATAAAACAAAGGAATAGACAAAAAAAAAAAACTAAATGAAACCCTAAAGATCTAACTGCAGAACTGAGGCTACCAGAAAGGACAAGTAGGGAGTGGGGAAGCACAGTGTGGAGGGGCTATGCTGGAGGACTATGAGTGCCTTGATGGTGGACATGGGGTGGGAACGTACATCTGAAGAGGTGTGAACCTATGCTCTGAATGATTTATGGTGTTGTACTAACATTACCTCAATTTAAAAAATACAGTAAGGAAATAAATAAATAGAAATGTTCTCAATAAATAGGCCTTTTTGAGCACAGCAACAATTAGCAATAACATACATGAAATGACTAATTTAAAAAATTTAACTTCATAAAGCAAATACCACAAAACAAAAAAAGTTAGAAAAAATGTTTTAGATATTTATGACAAATTATAGGGCCCTTAATATGGAAAGGAGTCCTTCAAAAGAAAGGCAAACACTGTCTGATTTCACTCATGGGTGAAATGTAGAGGAATAGATACAACTAAACCAAAACAAACCCTACCAATCTTACCTTAAGATTGAGGCCACCAGAGCTGAGGGCTCAGGATCACTGCTGGGGGAAGGACTATGGGGAAGGAACATGGGTACTTTGGTGGTGAGTAGGATGTGGTAATATACATATGAAAGGGATGAACCTAGATCCCAAATCATTCACAGTGTTGTTTTTATTTTTACATTGACAGTGTTTTTAAAACAATGTCCCTTCCATAAACACAATTTTTAAAATTAGCAAAAAAACAGACTGCAAATCAATAAAAGGAACACCTCACTTTATAAAAGAACAAATAAGTCATAAAATAAATATTCAGCCTCCCTGATAACCAGAGATAAAATTATTGTGATTCCATTTTCATAAACAAAGCTTTCCCACAATTACAAAACCCACTGTGGTCTGGGTAGAGGAAAACAGTGCTCAGATACTATGTTGCTGGGAGTCTACATGAGTAAAACTTTCAATGAGTCAATATGTAACAGGGTGGTCCCCAGGCAAGGGGGAGGTTCCCTGCCCCACCCAAGGGAGGGTGGAGCTGAGCAGGAAGAGGAGAAGCTGCAGAAGAGACTGTGTCCTATAACAAATACAGATAAAAATCTTTCAACAGTCCAACCCCTTTAACAAAGTAGTTTCTCCTGGCAGGAATTTATTCAAAGAGGCATTCCCTTTCTAGAGCTGCTATCACAAATGACCGCAAATTTGGTGGCTGAAAACACTGGAAGTCATTCTCACGGTTCCGGAGGCGAGAAATCTGAAATCAAGGTGTCAGTAAGGCCACACTCCCCCAAGGGTCCTTGGTGACACTCTGCTCCTTGCCCCATCCAGTTTCGGGTGGTGGCCAGCATCCTTGCGGCTGAGACCACATCACTGCAGTCTCTGCCTCATCTTTACATCCCCTTCTCCTCCTCTGTGTGACTCATCTCTCTCTGTCCCTTCCTTGTAAGGATATCTGTGGTGGGATTTAGGCCCTACATTCATATTCCAAGATTATCTGCTCATTTTATGATCCTTACCTTAATCACATAAGCAAAGACCCTTCCCCACAGAAGATTACATTCACAGCTTCTAGTGAGTTGGCTTGGATAGCTCTCAGGGGCTGTGGGGGATGTCTGCCTACCATAGAAGGTAGTAATGGAATCACCATCTAAGGATGTTATTCCAGCATTATGTATCATTAAAAAAACGAAAGAAATGATCTAAATGTTTAACAGCAGGGTGCCAGTTAAACAAATGAGAATACACCCATACAGTGAATAGACAACCATTTAACATGATGCTGATGTAAATCATTCCCATTATATACTGTTGCATTTTAAATCATCTATAATTTAGTGGCATACAGTAACAAATACTGCAGGCAAGATCTAGCAACAGATGCTAAAATCAGTGGGCAAATTTTGAGGAGAAAAAAGGATATCATGCAGTCTTAGAGTGTCTCCCTCAAGGTATTTATTCATTGCAAAAGGAAAAATACTTACTTTACAGTGAAGAAAGTCAGTAGTACCACCTGAAGCATGTTTTCCAGGTTAAGATGACCAGTAACAAGATACATCAGCATTAGGGAACCAAAGGGCAACTGACTGATAAGACACATAACTTTGCGGTATCCTTCACCAAATGCATAGCCTCTATCTAATCAAGAGAAAATATCAAATGAACTGAAACTGAGGGATATTTTACACAATAACTGATTAGACTCTCCAAACATGTCAAAATCATGAAAGACTGAGGATCCACTACAGACTGACAAAGACAAAGGACTTGTGACAACAAACAAAGGCAATATGGGAATCTTGAATAGGATACTAGAAAATAAAAAGGTCATTAATGCAAAAACTGGTGAAATTTTAACAAGTTTAACAGTATCATATCCAGTGTTAATTTCTACCTTTTGATCATTGTACTACGGTGACAGAAGAGGTTAACTTCAGGAGAAGCTGGGTGGAAATTATATAGGACTCTTGTGGTTTATTTTGTAGCTTCTGTACAAGTTTAAAATTAATTCAAAATTAAAAGTTTCTTAAAACCTTGTGGCATGAAACAATGATCATTTTATTATGTTCTTGATTCTCAGGATCAGTAATTTGAGGGACCCAGCAAGAACTATTTGTCTCAGTCTACCATGAATGAGGCCACAACTAAGGTGACTGCATTTGGTGGGAGATCGCTGGAGCAGCTTAACTGGAGCCACAGGTCTAGCTCTGCCTATTTTCTACTGGTCTTTGCTGCGGATACAATATTTAGGGTTGCTCCTTCCTATCTCTGGTGCCTACGCTGAGATAGAGGGAACCATCTGTTGTATTAGATACCTAAGACTGCTGTAACAAGCTCTGAAGGGTTGGGTGGCTGAAAACATTGTGAATTTATTCCCTAACATTTCTGGAAATTGGACATCTAAAACAGCAGGCCATGCTTGCCCAAAGTCTCTAGGGAAGAATTCTTCCTTGCTTCTTTGTAGCCTCTAGCGGCTGAAGGAAATCCTTGGAAACCCTTGGCTTGTTGCTACATCGCTCCAGTCTCTGCCTCTGTCTTCTCATGGCCTTCTTCCCCGGGCCACTGTCTCTGCATCTTTCTGTTTTCCCCTCTCTTATAAGGACACCTGCCACTGGATTTAAAGCTACTCTAACCCCATGTGACCTCATTTTAGCTAACTGCATCTGCAAGGATCGTATTTCCAAATAAGGTTACATTCTGAGATTCCAAGTGGACATGAAGTTTGAGGGGATACTACTGAACTCACCACACAAGGGAACTGGCGCGCATCATCCTCCCTCTGCACAGAGATACACCCAAGCAAAGCTCAGCTCCCAATACCAGATGCAGAAAAGAACAAACTGAAGGAATTTCATCCATATCAAATCAAAGCCCAAGCTAAAGAGGTGCAGTAGCCTGATGCAGGTTCTTACAATTCTACAATGTGAGATATTCACTTTATATCAGATAAACAGATTTAAGGATTATCAGAGAAATCGAGGCTCCTGCTGGGAGTCAGTCTAATGACCAAGTAATACCAGGTGACCACTTACATGTGCTAGAGGAATCCAAGGGTACTGCCAAAAAATACCAACTGTCTCCCAACCCGGAAAATTGTTACCACTATCTAAGGAAATTAAAGGTACTCCATATACTTTTGGAAGAAGAGGAGGAGGAAGAGGAGGGGAAGAGGGGAAGGTTAGGGAAGAAGGGAGGAAGAGAAGAAGTAGGAAGAGAAAGAGAGGGAAGGAGGAGGGGAAAATTCACAAATGTATCATCACACAAGGGAATTAGAAAGATAAGTGCAGAATGAATTAGTGGGTCTTGAAAAACAGGGCTGAAAGAGGGCCGGAAATAGGACTTCAATAAGCAATGAACTTTTGGAAAAGGGGCTGCAGAAGACTGAGTGAGAAGCCTCAAGGGAAGACCCGAGGTAGTCAGGGGACGCTGCATAAGCTCGGTGTTCGAGGCATCTGAGACACCCAGAAAGTAAGGTCAGAACAGACACACTGTCCATTTCCTGCTTGCTACTGTCCTAGCCTCTCACCCTTGAAGACTGAAGCACATGCAAGCTCAGGGGAGACCCATATAATCCTACCACATGTGATCATTGCTCCGAAAGAAGAGTTAAACTCACAGAGAAAAGAGAAACGATACTTGAATTGCTAATTTTACTTTAAATAGTCTATGGCTCTGAGATAAAAAATAAAGATAAATTTCACTCACCAACAATTTCTTCTGATGCGGTAGTTAAAGCCAGAAACTTTTCTTTATTTTCCGTCTCCTCGTTACTTTGCAAAGCTTCACTAGTTTTTGCAGACTAATAAAACATGGGGAAAGAAGGCAAATACACTTACTGATTTTTTTTTAATTCCAACATGGTTTCCAATCATTCTAACAAGTTTATATGTTTATGTAAATACAAACAAGAAGGCTCAGATAATTTTTATTTCTTTAGTTAGGAAATCTTACAGTGTTTCCACTTCCCATAAAATTGTTAGTATTCCCAGACAGAGTTAGAATACATACATCTATCACTGTATGATAATTACCAGGTTTCAAGTTTCTTAAGTTTCTATTTAATATTTCTGTAACTAATGGGTAACCCAACAGAATACCATCAAATAATTTCAGACACTTCAAGATTAGTATTGTTTCCTCCAAAATAAAAAATTACAGACATTCAATAAGAATAAGATATTTATTTCTCTAGTTGAAGCACAGCATTTTGGACAATTCTTTATTTCCAACCCAAAGGTCTTCCTGGGAACCTTTTTAACTTCTTCATTATTAATTAATTCATATTGTCATGCAAGAAATTTCCTCAGAAGTCAGTCAATTGATCAAGGATAAATTCATCAAAAACAACCAATCAGCTATTATAATGCTCCTTACCTTAAAAGTGCTGTTTGAGAGCTTCTATACAGCAAGAGAGACAGTAAGCAAAACAAAGAGACACCCCACCAATTGGGAGAAAAATTTTGCACACAACACTAATGATAAAGAACTGATCACAACAATCTACTAAGAGCTGACAAGACTCAACAAAAAGTAAGTAAATAATCCAATCAAAAAATGGGAAGAAGAGCTAAAAAGAAACTTCTCAAAAGAGGAAAAGCAATTGGCCAATAGGCATATGAAAAAATGTGCGACATCACTTGTCATCAGGGAAATGCAAATCAAAACTACAATGAGATACCATCTTACACCAGTGAGAATGGCACATATTAAAAAAAACTAGCAACAACAAATGTTGGCAAGGATGTGGAGAAAAAGGAACTCGCCTGCACTGCTGGTGGGAGTGCAAACTGGTCCAACCACTATGGAAAGCTGTGTGGAGATTCCTCAATCTGCTAAAGATGGAGCTTCCATATGATCCATCAATTCCACTCCTAGGTATTTACCCCAAGGACACAGAAACATTAATTCAAAAGGGCACCTGCACCCTGTGTATATACCAGCAATATTTACAATAGATAAGCTATGAAAACAACCATGGAAACAACAAACCAAAATGCCCAAAAATAGATGACTGGATCAAGAAGATGTGGTACCTATACACAATGGAATATTACTCAGCAATCAAAAAAGATAAACTCATGCAATTTGCAGCAACATGGATGGAGCTGGAAGGGATCATGCTCAGCGAAACAAGCCAGAAAGAAAAAGAAAAATACCGGATGGTCTCACTCAGAGCAGGAATTTAGAAAACCTAAATAAGAGACCAGGAAAAAGACAAATTATAATAAAGTAAAAATTAAAATCAACAAGCAACTGCAAACCAGAGACACACTACGGGGGTGGGGGTGAGGAAGAGGGAATAGGATCCAAACAAGGGGTGTGGGAATTTTATGGGGACTATAACCAAGATGAAAATGCATACATTGTGCAAAAATGAAAAATGATGTAAAAAACATATAAAATCAAATATTTTCAAACAGTGCTCTTTGAAGGGCAAAATTCAGTACCAACATCTGGTCAATTTCCATCCCTCAATACTACAGAGAACAGGAGGTGCAATAATGCTGGAAAGTTAGCTGCATACCAGAAATTTACTGAGACAGAAGGAAATACAGCATGAGCCCAGACCATGAGCACTTTACAGCTGCCTGTAGAGGTCTTGACCAGCACATGAAACAGAGGATTCTCCCACTAGTTAGTCATAAAACTTCCTTCAAGTAATAATGGGAATCAGAGGAGTAATATTTTATATATTTGTGTGTTTATCTCTCAACTCTAAACCTACTGAAGGAAAAGCAGACATGTATAATTGAAAGGAGACACCAAAATCCTTCTCTGTGCCTGAGATGCAGGAGACCCAGCCTGATACTTGTAAGAGAGGCCTGCGGGGCTTTCCAGGGAAGTGAACGCCACAGCACAGTGAATGCCGGACATCTGGCAGACTGCAAATTTACCATCTTTAGTTCAAAAAGATAACTTCCTCACCTGTAACCCGTAACACATATACACACCACTGTCACTCTAGCTACAAATACATCAATAAAAGCAGACTGCATTAACACTATCACAGTTCACGCTTCTCTTACCTCTTAAAAGGAAATTGTTTTTACATGTCAATATATGGTTATAGAATTCTTACCTTAAGATCTCACCACAATTTTAATTTCAATTCTAGACCTTGCTTCTTAATTTCTTTTTTCCTATTTTGTCTTTTCAGCAGTATCTTATGAAGCCTTTTCATCTTCTGAATAGCATCTTGAAGTCGAGAATCTATGAATTCAGGTGTATCTATATTGTGTTTAAGGTAGAAATAAGTTTGAAATTTAATGAAACCAAAAAATTCTGCTTTGTTTTTTACCATTTTTACCTTGACTCAACAAATGTTTATGACTGAGGACAACAAATAACATTGATATCATTCATCTTGATTTACAAGGTGTTTTCATATATTTTTCATATCATTACCTAACAACCCTGTGAAGTAGACATTTATCTCTATATTACAGTTGAGATAACCAGGAACTTGCAAAGCACTCATAAGTTTTAGCATTGAACTAGAAGTGGGTTTTGTGTGATTTTAAATCCCAAAGTCTTATTCCTTTATTCTACTATACCATCTTCATTCATTACAAGCAGATAAGAATAAGACAAAGACACAAACCTAAAGGTGCTTCAGAAGAACTGAAAGAGACATCCTGCACACAAGTAACTATAAACCCAAAGCTGCTTCAGACAAACTACAAGAGAAGTCCTGCACACAAGTAGCTATAGTAAGAAGCCGCATGTCAATGACACAAACTGGTTCCAACATATCAAAACAAATTCAGAAAACTGTTCCCTGAAACTCAACAAGTTTTTTTCATGTTCTTTCCATTTGTTCTATGTTCTTGAAGTTATCTAAAAAATTCCTGAATTACTAATAAGTAACAGTAATTGATTTGAAATTCAGGGCTCTTTAGAGCTTTCCTCATTTAAACCTTAACTTAGGATTATGATAATGTCATAATAGAATCTCACATTTATAATTACCTGGTAGGCAACATTTTAAGGACTTCATTTATAGGCATTATCTCATTTAATAATGAGTGTGAAGTACATATTATTGTCCCCATTTCACAAATTAGTAAACTGAGGTTATCTGAGTTATATACAAGTCCACAATGATAAAGCTAGCAAAAAGCAGAGATCTGTCTGACGCCAGAATCAAAGCTCTTAACCGGCAGTCAACACTTCCTCTGTAAAATCTGACAAAAGATGACCATCTAGCAATGAACTTATATCCGAGTACTAAAGTCGTGGTCAACCCAGTTGAGGTTATTACATGGCATATTATTCTAAGAAAGGCCAAATTTGATAACTTTTGAAAATCCACTGATGTTTCCCTATAATGCATATCACTTTTTTAAAAAAAAAGATTATTTATTTATTTATTTATTTATACACGCACTGGGTACAGTCAGAAGCGCAGGAGGATAAGAGAATTCACCAAGCCAGAGCGGGGAGCAGAGCAGGCAGAAGGACCGAAGTACACTGCTGAGGGGAGCAGCGGGCAGCAGGAGAGGTCTGTGCGCCATGTGGGACCCTCACCGGTGGCCAGGGATCGAACCGGCACTTCAGAGGCTGCGGGCAGCTTCGCAGCTCAGCGCTCAACCGTTGAGCCACCAGGGGAGGCCCATATCACTTCTTCTTTAAGGAAAAGAGGATATTATAGTTTAATCACAAAGAATATAGATCCGATTATTAAGGAGGCTCTGCCAATCTTATTGTTTATGTAATTCAAATGCAACACCCTATAGCTCTAATTCTCCACTACCCATCCTATCATTCTTAGGTTCCATAAACACAGGTGGTCTCTGTGGCACACTTTTTTAAATAACTCAGACAGTACTGAAACAACACAAACAAACAGAATAGAAACTGGGCCAACAGCTAATCTCAACTATAATAAGGTGTTTCCTGATAACTGTAATCCAGAGTCACCGGCCTAAGTCTGAGAGCTCATCCCAAACATATTGTATAGGAGCAGTTCTCAGACTTTAGGATCTCAGCTTCCCTTTACAGCCTTAAAAAACATTAGGACACAAAATTCTTTTGGGTTTTTGATCACTGCCATATTAGAAATCAAAACAAAAATATTATAAGCATTTATTCATTTTTCAATAATATCTAACACTAATAAAAAGGAGGCATGCATGACAAATGGGGACATGCAGGATCCAGGGGGGGCTGGAGCATCACTGCACAGAAGAGAGGATGAGTGACTACAGGGTCTAAGGTGGGACTAAAGAAGACACAGAGGGGCGTGAGTGAAACCACCTCCAAAATGCAAACCGACCCGATGTAGACAAAAGCCATTTTTTTTTTTAAAGATTTATTTATTTACACAAGCACTGGGCACAGTCAGAAGCACGGGAGGATGAGAGAATTCAGCAGATCCAGAGCGGGAAACAGAACAGGCAGACTGACAAAGTACACAGCTGAGGGGAGCAGTGGGTGCCGCAGGTGAGGTCCGCCATGCCATATGGGACCCTCGCCAGCAGCCAGGTACATAACTGGCACTGCAGAGGCTGCAGGCAGCCTCGCAGCACAGCGCTCAACCACTGCGCCACCAGGGGAGGCCCCAAAACCCATTTTTTCAAGTGGTTACCCCAACTTGGAGCCACATCAGGCTCACCATCAATCTGGTTCTCTGAATAAGGGCATGAAGAGGAACAGACTGTGTTTTAAAATAAAAGATAGATTTGAGTGTTTCTGCAAGAAAAAAATACATAGTAAATCAACTGGACATGGATTTTTAAAATAGGCTAATGGAAGGAGAGAGGAAAATCAGTCTTGTCTGAGGCACCTTGCACATGTCTGAAGGAGCCCTAATAAAAAAAAATTGGCACCATGCAGGGCATGGAGGCAAGAACCCTGATCCTTGCTGTGTATCCCTCAATGCCTCACTTAAGATGTATCTGGATCCAAGCACCCCCATGCCAGGGCTCTTCTGGCCAGCAGTCTGAGTCCAGAGGGGGAGGGGGCAGCCAAAGCCGGGGCAGACCGCACGCGCAGGAAAGTGTATCTCCGACTCGCCATCTTAGAACAGGGACCTTCCTTCAATAAAGACTGCTTGAAACTGGCAGAAGGCTCCCCGCGGATCTAGGAGTGAGCTGGGAAGCACCCCCACACCAGGCCCCTTCTGGCCAGCAGTCTGAGCCCAAAGGGGGAGCGGGCAGCCAAGGCCAGGGCAGACTGTGCATGCAGGAAAGTGCGTCTCTGAGCCGCCATTTTAGAACAGGGACTTTCCTTCAATAAAGACTCCTTGAAACTGGCAGAAGGCTCCCCACAGAGCCAGAGGGAAGTCTGTGGGACTTCAAGACACACCTTTGGAATTAACAAACACAGGAGGAGGAGTTATTCTGTGACAGAGACCATTAACATACTCAAAGTACCACTGCATCACTGGACTTCTGGCATAAAAGCATTTGAGTAGTTTGGACCACCAGTTTCTGAAATCCCAGAAAGAGCACACCAGAAAGATGCCAGCCAGTACCAGCGACACAGTGTCCCAATGCATAGGGCAAATTAGAAGACAGGCAGCAGGGAGAAGAAAAACTACAAACAACCTAGCAACTCCTCAGGAAAAAGACACCACCAAAAGAAAACTACCCACCGGATTGCTACGACAGTGACTTGGAAGAACTTCTGAGCCTTCCAGAAAGAGAATTTAAAATTGTGATGATTAAAAAACTGAAGGAAGTCAAAAACGATATGGGAAAATAATCAACGATCAGAAGAATAAAATTGAATCCCTAAAGAGGGAAGTAAAAGAAATGCAGGAGATCAAAGAATTAATGGAGGAACTAAAGAACTCTGGGAAAAGCAGTGAAAGCAGAATAGATGAAATGGAAGAACAAATAAGTACTCTTGAAGACACAGAAACAAAAAGAACCAAAACAGGAAAGGAAAGAGAAGTACAAAGGAAAAAGACAGAAGAAAGACTTCGGGAACTATCTGACTCCATGACGAAAGGAAATGTAAGAGTTATAGGAATACCAGAAGGAGAGGAGAGAAATGTAAGAACAGAGAAAATATTCAAGGAAATAATAGAAGAGAACTTCTCAAACGTGAAGGAGCTGAAAATAGACATACAAGAAGCAAGAAGAACACCTAACTTCCATGATGAAAGGAAAAATACAGCAAGACACATAATAGTAAAGCACCCAAGAATCCAAGACAAGGAAAAAATAATGAAGCTGACAAGAGGGAAGAAACAGATAACATTCAAAGGAAACCAATCAGGCTGACATCAGACTTCTCCCAAGAAACACTACGGGCAAGGAGAGAGTGAAGGGACATAGTTAACAGACTCCAAGACAACAAATGCCAACCAAGAATACTCTATCCTGCAAAGCTTTCCTTCCTCTATGAAGAAAGAATAAGGACCTTCCCAGACAAAAAGAAACTCTGGAATTTCATTACGACTAAACCCCCACTCCAAAAAATACTACAAGGAGTCCTAAAGCCAGAACCAACAGAGGGATGAATAACAACGAAAGAAGGCCAAAAACAAAAAAAAGTTATTAAAGGAATAAATAAATAAAATCAGAGGAAAGACAAACACAATGGCAAATCCAGATGCTAACATATCAATATTAACTCTAAATGTAAATGGACTAAACTCTTCAATAAAAAGACAAAGTTGCAGGCTGGATTAAGAAACAAAACCCAGACTTTTGCTGGCTCCAGGAAACACATTTAACTACAAAAGATAAAAACAGACTCAAAGTTAAAGGATGGAAAACAATCCTAAAATCAAATGGACCAAAAAAGAAGGCAGGAACAGCTATACTTATATCAGTTAAAACAGATTTCAAACTCAAAAAGGTAAAAAGAGACCCAAATGGTCACTACATTATGATCAAGGGGACAATATTTCAAGAAGAAATAACACTCATTAACATATACTCACCAAATGAAGGAGCACCAAAATATATCAGACAACTGTTATCATCTTTGAAAACAGACATCAGAGAAAACACATATGTAGTAGGAGACTTCAACACACCACTATCGACAATGGATAGATCAACAAGACAAAAAATAAGTAAGGACACTAAAGCTCTAAATAAGGATCTAGAGCTCATGGGGTTAACAGACATCTATAGAACACTAAACCCAAAAAAATCTGAGTATACATGTTTCTCAAGCACACACGGATCATTCTCCAGGGTCGATCACATACTGGGACACAAGATAAACATCAACAGATTCACCAAGATTGAAATCATACCAACCATCTTCTCTGACCATGAAGGTATCAAACTAGAAATAAACCATAAAAAGAAGGCAAGAAACTCTCCTACCTCACAGAAACTGAAACCCAGGCTACTGGAAGACCACTGGACTAATGAAGAGATCAAAGAAGAAATTAAAAAATACATTGAGTTGAATGACAAGGAGGGCACCAATTTCCTAAATGTGTGTGACACAGCAAAAGCAGTAATAAGAGGAAAATATATAGCAATAGAGGCTCACATCAAGAAACAAGAAAGATCTCAAAGAAAAAAACCTAATCTCAAAGCTCAAAGAACTAGAAAAAGAACAACAACAACAACAAAAAAAAAACCTCAAAACCAGCAGAAGAAATAATAAAAATCAAAGCAGAAATAAATGAAATTGAAACTAAAAAAACAATCCAAAAGATCAATGAAACCAAAAGCTGGTTCTTTGAAAAAATAAATAAAATAGACAAACCCCTAGCCAGGCTCACAAACAAAAAACGGGAGAAAGCACAAATAAATAGGATCACAAATGAAAGAGGAGAAATCACAACAGACACAGCAGAAATCAAAAGAATAATCAGAAACTACTATGAACAGTTATATGCAAACAAATTCAACAATCTAGAAGAGATGGACAAATTCCTACAACTCTGCAATCACCCAAAGCTAGATAAAGAAGAAATAGAACACCTAAACAGACCAATTACAAGCATTGAAATTGAAATGGTAATCAAAAACCTCCCCAAAAACCTCCCCAGGACCTGATGGATTTACAAATGAATTCTACCAAACATTCAGAAACTAATTAGTGCCTATCCTTCACAAACTCTTTCAAAAAATTGAGAAGGAAAGAATAATACCAAACACATTCTATGAAGCCAACATTACACTAATACCAAAACTGAACAAGGACAACACAAAAAAAGAAAACTACAGGCCAATCATTCTAATGAACATGGATGGAAAAACCCTCAATAAAATTTTAGCTATCAGAATCCAACAATGTATCCATAAGATAATTCACCACGACCAAGTAGGATTTATTCCAGGGACACAAGGATGGTTCAACATCTGAAAATCAATCAATGTTATCCAACAACAACAACAAAAAAAATCAACAAAAAGAAATATAAAAACCATATGATAATATCAATAGATGCTGAGAAAGCTTTCGACAAAGTACAACACCCATTTATGATAAAGGCCCTTGAAATTGTCGG